TCCTCTGGAAAGATTATATATATATATATATATATAAATAAAGCGATGATATAAGGGTGTGTATATGTATTCTTATTTTATATATACATATACATACACATACACACATATATGTATACACACATATACACATGCACACACATGTATACATACACACACATATACATACACACACCCTTATATCATCGCTCCTTTTTGAACTGGTAGGATACTGCACTTGTAGGCAGAAGCCTTAAAGTCCATGGAAGATAAACCTGTGCTTTTTACCCATGTCTGCAATTGGAGCAGATTTCTTACAGCAGTCTTGTACTGCTACCATCCATTTTTTCACCCTCTTACCTTCTGTTGGTAAAATAAATAAATGAATAAATAAAAATACAATTAAATCTGCAAAACTCCCAGGATGGTTGCCAGCATTTGTAGCAGTGCAAGTTTATTTTAGTTTACTGCCATGGCAGCAACAGTTTAACTAGATTGATTCTCTACAGCAGTGGTTCTCAACCTTTATTTTATACTCAATGCACCCTTCATTAGACTTAAGGCACCCTCCATTAGATGCAAGGCACCCCTTGGAAAATGCCAACTCTTAGCTTTCACTATGGAAAAACAATAAAGCAATTCGTCTGTGGCAAAGAACTCAGAAAGACCACAACAGGGCAGAAAGTTTTAGACACTCTAGATTCTTATTTGAAATCTCTACATTTATATTGTGAATTATATTTGCACACCTAATATTGTTAACACCCTTGAAAAGATTTCAAGGCACCCCAAGGTGCTACAGCACCTTAGTTGACAATCACTGCTCTACCATAAGGAATGAGAGGCTCAGAGGCTGGAAAAAAACAGAGTAATTGCATCCCCATTCAATTTACTTCTACATACATTTAGGGAAGCATCTTTGACCCACTGCTGTCACCTGCTGCTCATAGTCCAGCACTGCACTGACTAGAAAACAAAGTCAAAGTCAAATGGCCAAACCTTCCTTGCAAAAGGGTCCGTTTTCAAATGTCTGTTAGGTTGAGAGGGAGACACACAAGCAGAGCCTCACAAGGAGAAGCGCACACCCACCAAACAATCCTGGTCATTATAAGTAACACAGACTGGAAGGAGCTCTGGTACCTTCCTCACTAGAGCAGGAGAGGGTTACCCCACATAGGTCTGAAGGACTCCAGGGTGTCTGCTCCTGATAGAGGAAACATTAGTGACCACAGGGGCAGGCTACTTTTGTCAGATTCAGTCTCAGTACCAGAGATTCATGTAGCTCCCCCGAAACCCACTGCTCCAAACAGCTGTCAATGTTCGGTCTTTGAGGATCAGTGACTTGGGGTCTGTCATAGTTGGTGTTAATTCCACTGGCTGGCAGTGTTCATTTCAAGTGCTAAGGCTAAGTTCAGACAGTCAAAAAGCCTGAGGCTAAATCACTTCAGTATTTGTTGGTTAGTCTAAGACAGGCTTGTCCAACATGCGGCCCACCGCCACCTCTGCTGGCTGGTGCCGACCCGGGCAGGTCTGTCCCATCTGGAGCAGCATGCAGCTGAAGCTGGCTTCCCACGTGCTGCTGGGGATGGGAGGAGCCCAGCCAGGTTAGCACCAGCCAGCAGAAGCGGTGGCAGAGCCATGTGCCGCTCGGCATGGGATGAGCCCGGCCAGAGCGGCAGGGGCTCAGCTGCATTTTCCCCCTGTCTGCACCCGTCAGCCCTGAGCGGCACACGGCTCCGCTGCCACTTCTGCTGGCTGGTGCTAACCTGGCTGGGCTCCTCCCATCCCCAGCAGCACGTGGGAAGCCAGCTTCAGCTGCATGCTGCTCCAGATGGGACAGTCCTGCCCGGGTCAGCACCAACCAACAGAAGTGGTGGTGGAGCTGTGTGCCACTCGGGACTGACCAGCGCAGGTAGGGGGAAAATGCAGCTGAGCCCCTGCTGCTCTGGCTGGGCTCATCCTGAGGTTCATTTCATGTTTGTAAAATGCTTCGAGAGCCCCACATAGATGCACTGCATAGAAATGCAAAATATATTTTGACTTATTTGGTTGGCACCTTGGGCTGGGATTTTCAAAGCTGAGTCAAAAGGCCAACTTCCATTAAAATGAGTGGGATTTAGAGGGCTCCAAATCTTTTATGACAACTTTGTAACATGCCTATCTACCACTTTTTGCAAATCTCAGCCATAGTTTGGAAGCTCAGCCAAAGAACATAAGAGCATAGAAAGTGCCATGCTTGGTCAGCCCAATGGTCCATCTAGCTCAGTATCCTGTCCCAAACAGTGGAGAGGTGGATGCTATAGAGGGAGAGTTTTGAACTGGTTAGACCCATTTCATTGTCACTTCCTGCAACATCATTGGTGTCAAAAGTCATGTGACATCACTTCCTGATGTCATACTGCTTCCTGTGAGGTCTTTGAATGTAGCTCACCGGCTCACTGGGTGGCTTGCCAGCCCACTGGGTGATAAAAAGTTCATGATCTGGCCCCACATTAAAAAAGGTTGGACACCCCTGGTCTAAGCTGTGTAGGTTGAACTGATAAGCAAGTGAACATTCACATTTGATTCTGGAAATGCAGCCACATGTCTGCAGTGGCCCAGGCCAAGCACACCTGTCTGCTCTGCTGGAGCCAAGACTAGCTCGCCCACCCTGTGGGGGTGGGGGGGGGTGGGGTGCAAAGCATCCTGGGATGCTGAAGGCTTGTGAGTTATTCAATAAACTGATCTAACCTAAATCAGTTAAGTCTGATGCTACATCCATCCAGGCTTATCTTAAACTGGTTTTGGCCACTTTGGAAGTGGTTTATGTGCACTGAACTTGGGCTTATTTTGAATTTTTTTCTTTTCCCTTGGAGTCCTTAGGGCGCACACAGGTCATATTTTCAATCTTTTCTCTGCCATCTCAAAGGCTAGAAACACCCTTTTTAAAATTAAAAGTGGGATCTTCAGGTAATCCCCCATCTCTGGAAGCTGAAGCTTTAAGTAAAAGTCCAAATAGCATGAGACTGAGGTTAAAGCATTCCACCCCAAGGGTTGCCATTTCATATTAAATAAATTATGTGCCTTTATTTTTTTCCTTCCTCACTGGCTAATGCTTTCAACCTCTGAAGTGAAAGGAGGTGATTCTGTATCTCACCTGCCCACTTGCAATGTACACTAGAGAGGTGGTAGGAAAAGACCCTGTAACATTTTAAGGCTGTGCTACCAGGAAGCAATGGGTCCACAAATCTGGTACCTTCAGGGTTCTCAACCAACATGGGTTCACTGAGGGCAGGTCCTGCCTGACTAACCTGGTTTCTTTTTATGATCAGGTCACAAAGTCCATGGACGAGGGTGTTGGGGTGAATGGACTTCCTGGACTTTAAGAAGGCCTTTGACATGGTTTCCCACCACATTCTCTTAAAAAAAACTTGGGGACTGATACCTACACAGTCAGATAGGTGGCAAATTGGCTAGATGGTTGCACCCAGAGAGTGGTGGTGGACGGGTCATTTTCGACCTGGAGGGATGTGGGCAGTGGAGTCCCCCAGAGCTCGGTCCTGGGGCCTGCACTGTTCGACATCTTTATCAGTGATCTGGATTTGGGTGTGGAAAGCACACTGTCCAAATTCGCTGACGATACCAAGATGTGGGGTGAGGTGGGCACACTGGAGGGGAGGGACAGCATCCAGCTAGATCTAAACAGGTTATAGAGGTGGGCGGATAAGAATAGGATGGAGTTCAACACAGACAAGTGCAAGGTGCTGCATCTAGGGAGAAGGAACCAGCAATACACCTATAGGCTGGGAACACCCTTCTTGTCAACACGATGGCAGAAAGGGATCTTGGAGTCATTGTTGACTCCAGGATGGACATGAGCTGCCAATGCGAGGAAGTGGTCACTAAGGCTAACCACACCCTGTCGTGCATTTACAGATGCATCACAAGCAGGTCAGGGAGGTGATCCTTCCCCTCTGTGCAGCCATGGTCAGGCCACAGTTGGAGTTTGTGTCCAGGTCTGGGTGCTGAACTTCAGGAGGCATGTGGCTAGCATTGAGAGGGTCCAGAGGAGGGACACTCATATGGTCAAGGGGCAGCGGGGTAGGCCCTACAACAAGGGCCTGAATCTATTTAGCCTCCACAAAAGAAGGTTGAGAGGGAATCTGGTGGCCATTTACAAACTCACCATGGGGGACCAGCAGGAACTGGGGGAGGCTCTGTTCCCCTGGGCACCACCCGGGGTTACTAGGAATAACGGCCACAAATTGTGAGAGAGAAGGTTCAGGCTGGACATCAGGAGACATTACTTTACAGTTAGGGCTGCCAGGCTCTGGAATGGGCTCCCAAGTGAGGTGGTGCTCTCTCCTACCTTGGGGGTCTTCAAGAGGAGGCTGGACAGATATTTGGCTGGGGTGATATGATCCTGGCGCCCGTTCCTGCCTGGGGCAGGGGGTCGGACATGATGATCTGTTTAGGTCCCTTCCGACCCTAAGTACTATGATACTATGATGTTCTTGCAAAGCCTGTTCTGACTGGTGCCCTTTCTATCCCAGCTCCCTGTGGGGAGCGCATTCTTGAGAGGTAGTTAGTGGTCAGGCAGAAGGCAGGAAAGATATTCACCTTATAGACTAGCTCAACAAAATCTATATGTTTTGTTTTTTGCAAAAATATTCATTGAGATAGATATATATATCAATGAATATTTTTATATATATATATATATATATATATATATATATATATATATAAATCCACCTCCAACACTCTGCCAAGTGGCCCCTGTGGTTCACTTGGCAGATCAAACCACACTAAAAACCTGTTATACAGTCCATACTGCATATCCATTCACCCACAAAATCTATATAGAACACAAGCTTTTGTGAACTGGAGTTCACTTCATCAGAGGCTTAGAGTAGTGTACAAAGTAGACTGAGTGATATGAATCCAGAAGGTGAGAAAAGAGGAGGGAGAGGAAGTGGGAGGGAGCAGTGCTGGAAGAGGCATGCAAACAAAGAACCCACAGGAACAAAGGGGTCACAAAAGCTAATCCAGGTAATGGGATAAGAATCCACAGCTCCTCTTTAAACATCCTTCAGCCAGAGTTCAGATAAACAAATCTCTCCTCGTACTCTCTGGAGGCCAAAAATGGGGGTGTCTTTACTCAGAGAGGCTGAATAAGGACCACACCCAAGGGAGGTGTCAGGAAAGATCTGGCCCAGTCAGTTTACACGTAGATTTATTAGAGAAAACAGGTTTTTTGGAGAAAATAAATAAGAGGCAGTGAAAAAATAAAAGATTCTCTTGGATTAAAGCCACTATAAATATTAGTTCACTATCTAGTCAGACATCACCCCAGTTGCGCAAAAAGAAAAACATAGGGCTTGTGCCCTTCCTTGTGATGAGCAAGAGCAACCGTCCCTAGCACAAAAGTGTCAGCTTATGGCTCACATGTTCCATCCAGAGTTTCTCCCCCTCTCTGTTAATCACTAGTCCTCTGACAGGCTCGTTTCCAAGGTCAGTTGACTGCCAGCCTCTACAGGAGTTTACCCCAGGCAGATTAAACATCCTGGTAGGGTGTTAAAATCCAAGTCAGGTGACTCCAGTTTCATTTGTTCTCCAGTGGGACCCCTGGCCCATATAGCATTTGGTGCTTGGCTTCTTTCTAGGCTTGCACCTTCATCTCCCCTGGAGGAAGGGCCTGTGCAGTCCCCCTCTGCCAGCAACAACACGTCACCCCCTTTCCAGACTAGTGAAACAGGCTTAATGGATTTTTTCCACCCCCCACTTGGTCTCTGCCTGTAGGAGCCAGATGGAGTCCTTACAACGGCCCCAGTGAGTCAGGACACCGTGTTCCTACAGAAACTATTGCAGTCTGTATAACAAAAAGCACCAAGCCAGCACTCCAGCTCCAGCCAGTGCAGGGAGTTGACTTGGTAGCAGCAATTCTGAGAGCATTGAAAACTCCCATCCAATAGATTAACCAGGAGTGGTCACCTAATGGGTCTCTCCAGGAGACCATGATAAGCGTAAATGTCTTACAGGTGTGGACAACTGGAGGTTCAGGGAAACTGTTCCTCTACTCTTCACGGTCCATTCCAGTCAACACACAAGTCTGGAGTGCACTGAACCTGCAAGAAAAATCAAGACATTAAATCTGCTTTGATAAGAGAACCTTCCACCCTCCTGTGAGATTTATGTCCAAGGGGAAGAAAGCACAGAAATTCCTTCTCTAATGATTCATTCATAAGCCCAGAGCAGTTTTAGAGGGTGCAGCAGTCAAAAAATACAGCTGTACACATGAATGCTCTGGCTCATACTGTGCTGGGGTGAAAGCAACACTGGGACTCTTACTGTGACAGCAAAGTGTTCCCTCAGTTCTTGACTCATGCCTGCTAAGGCCTGACTTAGACTGCAGAAAAAGGTGGGGTGTGTTTTTTTTTTAAAAAGCTGGCTTAGTTTGAATGGAAACCGCTCCCACAAATACACTGTTTAGTACCTCAAGTAGACTGTGTTATAGCCTAAATTCCCCTCCCTCATTTGAGTTTGATACCGTTAAGCCTGTGCCATAAATTCCTTACGCCTTTAAACCCTAGTCAGGACAATGGCTAAAACTCACTTGGCTCCAGCTCCACTCTAACGACCAGGACTATCGCTACATTTCTACTCATCTCCAAAGACATTTGCCACTAGCTGAAATGGACACCACCTCTACATGATGGATTCAACAAACTTGGGAGTGGTGCCCTCCAGCATCTCAAGCTGCAACCAGTGGGCTGCCTTCTAAACAGTCAGCGGTATGCCCATGGTGGTGAGCTTCTGAGTGTGGGGGTGAGCTCATTAAGACTGATGGGCGATAGGGGCACCGTATGGACATGGCTACGCTGCTTCCACTTGAATAGGAGGCTGCCCATTCACAGCATCAGGGTGCATTTGAAGGAGCCACTGCCAGCCACCAGTGGTGTAACTATTGGTGGGTGACCAGGGCACTAGGCCTAGAGGGGGCGCAAGAATGGCAACTGCTGCTGCAGCTGCCACCATTTGCCTGCTGCCACTACCCAGGGCATAGGAACTGCTTGGTCGCTCAGATACAGCTCTAAATCAGCTTAAAAAGACTCCCAGAAAGTTTTCTTTTCCGAAGGATGGGTTCCCAGCATTGGAAGCAGGCACAGTGAGGATGGGAAGCAATGACAGCCGTGGAAGGGCACCCCAGACCTCTTCTGCCTTGGTGCTGCACAAGATTGCATGGAGCTGCCCCTTTGAGCCCATACAGCTCCCTGCAGTCAGAGCAGCAGTTGGTGCCCTAGAGCATTGGGGTAGAGGATGGTTTCATAGGTGCAGGGGAAAATCTTGAGACATCTCAACAGGGGTGCTCACCAGGATCTGGGGGAATGTTTGTTCACCAGAGTGCCCCAAGGGATGACAAGGTCAAATGGTCAGAAACTCCTCCATGACCATTTCAAGCTGGACATAAAGATGAATTTCTTCACTGTCCGAGCCCCCAAGGTCTGGAATAGGCTGCCGCCGGAGGTGGTTCAAGCACCTACTTTCAACGCCTTCAAGAGACAATTAGATGTTTATCTTGCTGAGATCCTATGATCCCTGCTGACTTCCTGCTCCTGGGGCAGGGGGCTGAACTCGAAGATCTTCCAAGGTCCCTTCCAGCCCTAATGTCTATGAAGTCTATGAAATCTCCCCCAACTTGTGGGGCCTATGGGCAGTGTGGCTTACTATGTGGCTTTCAGTGGCCCCCAAGCAAACAGCAGCCTGGGGTAAATAACCCCAGTAGCATAACTAAGGCAGGGCAACGGAGGCAGCTGGGCCCTGACTTTGGGGGTGGGGGGTGGGGCAGGGAAATAACAGCTGCACAACTGCACCACTGACATGGCGGCAGATGGAAGTCCTCACTACCTTTATGTGTAACCACTGCACCAGCTATAAAGTTGTCCTGTTACACCTCTGATTATTCCTTCTGTCTTCCACACATGTGCGCTCCTGGAAACTTATTACTACCCTCACACTCCTCTGCCTTTCTGTCCTGTAAATGTTAACTTTGCTCTGAAATCTACCGGTGCTCTATGCAAACAGCAACAAAATCTATCCCAGCAGTAGGACAATGCACTGAAGTCAAGTTGTATTGTTTGAACATTTCTCCTTAACTCCTTTGTGGCACCATTCATGGGAGGGTGGGAGAGGGAGAGAGGAGAAAAAGCAGTGGCAGGAAATTATTAGGAGCTGAACTTACCTATTTCCCTTCACAAAATCCACAGAGACACCCAAAGAAACCATTGATAATCTGAAGGGAAGCCAGGACCATCTCAACTGCACTGATGATCATCAGAAGGGAGAATAAGCTGATGTTCCAGGGTACGATACGAGGGGGCTCAATGCAGACAGAGGTCCAGAGCGACTGGTTAAACAGATAGTTGTCAGCCCTTAAAGAGAGCGGCTGGGCATGAGACACTAGCAAACAGACTTCTGAAGGGATGATTTGCAGGTGATTTTGAATAGCATGAAAATGTCCTCTTTAGTTTCATAGTGCTGGACAGGGTAGCCTTTCTTTTTTTTTTAACCTTAGCAATATCAAGAACCTGGTCTGATATTCCCTAGCTTTCTGAAAGCCTTTCTTGGGGTCTGAGCCCTCACGCTTCAGCTGATGGTAGGGGACTAAGTTTTAACAAAGACTTGCTTTCTTCAAAACTTTCACCAGCCATTTAAATTAATAGCTATAAAACAGTAGTAAAAATACTGAAAAATGCCTTCCTACTCTGCTAACACTATGGGGTTTTTCCAGCTAAGTAAGACCTAGCTATCTAAAGGGAGCAAACAGGTAAGAAAAAAAAAAAGAAAGCCTTTTTTGGGGAAAAGGCAACCTTTCATACCCGTCTTTATATTGTGTAAAGCAGGAAAAGAACACTAACAATTTTTTTTTAAAATGATGAAACACGAGAGTCCTTCCTGAGCTTGTCTAAACAAGGTGAAGACATGAGCCCCTTTCCAGCCCTGCTATTGAACATGCTGTGTGGGTCTTGGTACAAAGCCAGTGGGGGGTTTCACTATGGCTCCAGAGGTGTGAGATTTGAGACATGTATCAAAGGTTGCCATCAGTGGACCCAGCTGTTAATCGGCACCGGGCCATTCTTGATGGGGTGTGAAAGGCAGCCAGACATGCTGGCCCTATTGCCCCTTTGCATGCCATAGGCTACAGAATCAGGCAGGCTTTAACTACCCTGGCCCAATCGTTCACTAGGCTTGGGTGGACATTTGGCCTTTAGCGTGGCATAACATGCTCCACAAGGTCACTTCTCACCTGGAGGTGAAGTCTTGGCTGCTTGTGTCTGAGAAAGGATAATTCCAGTGCTGAATTCCATCCTGGTTGTGGGTTGAACCATTGGACAGGCAGAGGGGTCCATTTGTCAAGCCTAGTCCAGCCATGATAAAGCAGGCGGCAGATCCCAGCAATGCCAGCCCTGATAAGATGATGGAAAGGAACAGCTGGGGGTACAAGACACAGGCATGAATGTGTAATTCCAAATGGGACGTTCTGTTGCCTCAACAAGTTCCAAGGGCCCTGCTTGGGGCCAGGACTGCCATCTGCTCAGCCTGGGGCTATGAGAGGAAATATGAGGCCTTAAAGGTTAGCCTCAGGGACTGCACTTTAAAACTAGTGGAAGAAACTAAGAGCTTTTGCAACTGCTATAGAACTTGAATTAAAGGCATCGCCTCAGGACTGCAGGTAGGAACATCCTTTCAGCTCCCAGCCAGGCTTCTTTATAACCACAGCACAAGCCTCAGCCCCTTGTGGTCCTGCCCCTGGAGTCCACTGGGTGTGGAACACCAACACTCAGTGGCAGCATTTGGTGTGCACAGGTAAGGGGCACAAGCTGCATAAGATCAGGCCATGTACTCTCTCATACATTTAACCCTCTGTTACCAGTGTGGATAAATGCAGAAGAAAACTACATCTGGTCTTCTCACTTTGCACCTGTTTTGTAACCTCTCATCCACTTCGACTCAGTGACATTCAGCAGCCATTTATCTCTGAAGCAGCTATGGATTGCAAGTGCCCAGCCAGAAGAAACCAGGATGCAATGTATAGAAGTGCTGGGCTGTACTCAGTGCCTCGTATGTAGCTTGGTAGGCACCCAGATGTAGTGGGCACTTTGGAAAGACTGGCTTTATGGGGCAAGATTATTTGGGAGGTCTCTCTCCACTAAACCTAGTGGGTGAATGGGAGGAGAGAAAGGCTCACATCTGTGCCAGGGCCCAAGACAGTCTTAATGCCAGATGCTAGATGAATGGTGACCTGCATTATGAGGTGTGAGCTGAAGAGGCATCTTGCCATTATCCCCATCCAAACCAGTAGTGTCTGGTTGTTAGCACTATGTGAGAGGGAGAATGTGAATCCTGGGTGATGATGGTACATGACCTCTACTACACCCAAATGCTGTGTGTATAAATGTCTCATCCTCTTGTGAACAAGAGGAGTTGAAGCCATGCAACTAGGAGGACACATGCTAGTGACCCAGGGTTCTCATCTAGGCCCCAATACTGTAGTAACTGAGGGCAACCACGTTAAACATTCAGTGTGGTTGATCCTCAAAATCCCTGGTTGGAAAAAGAACTGTACTGCAGCAAGAGGTTGGCAGCCTATGGCGCATGGGCCAGATCCAACTTGTGGAATCACTGGATCTCACCTGCAGAGCTGGGGGACTTTGCCTGTGTTGCAGCTGGGTGGTAGGGAGAAGCGACCAGGTCTTAGTGCCAGTCCACCTGGATCATGCTGGCTCGCCACTAGAAAACGTTGCTGACAGCTGGCCTGTGCTGCTGTTGCAGGGATAGGCAGACATGCTGTCAATGAGCTGTCCAAGGACTCATAGTAATTCAGTAGAGGATGAGGGAGTTAACTGGACATGGGCCTCAGAAGCACTGTACTGTCCTTCCCTTCTTCGCCACTTTACTGCTTGCTCTTGGTTCTCTCTCATCCCCTACCTACTTGGGGGGTCTACGGGAAACATAAGCAAAGATAATTTCCTTCCCACTTGCATGCAAAGTCTGCCAAGCACAGTTGGTGCTATGCAATGCCTGCGGCATTAGACATGACTGATCTGGAGAATCCTGCTCTCTCAGCAGCTGTGGGCTTGGAACCTCGCTCTGCTACCAAAACCAGTACATTTCCCACAAACGCCATGAATCTGTGCCTTACATTTCTCCAAGTTCCGCAGTCAGAGAAACAGCCGCATCGCCATCCAACAGCTGTGATGTGAGTTGCAGCCAGAAGAACCTGAAGAAGGGAAGCACAGATTCAGGATGAATGGAACAGGGCAGGCTGCTGGTATCAAGAGCTGACATGTTCTTTCCTACCCCTCACTTTGACCTTGTACGAAAAGGGTTGCCACCCCCTGTTCAGCATGGAATATATTAACTGTCCAGTAGCATAGTCTTAAAGGCAACAGTTCTGCCAAGAGCTACCCGAGGATAGATGCCTGTAGCTGCACAGAACCGCATTGAAGTCAGTTATGGAGGTTCTGACAGTGGGGAACTCCTTGAGAAACGAGGAGTCCGTGAACAACCCTGAAGATAAAGTTTGTTGTCTGTACTGCTCTTATCTAACATCAGCCTGTAGACTCCACATGGCTGCTTGTGTTTGCCTTAATCTGTTTTTCAATAACTGTTTTGATGCTTAAAAATCCCAAAATTTTGCCAGGCAGAGCAGCCTGCAAAAAAGCAAGGCATAAGCAACACAACCATGTGTATCCAAAATGAAAGATGATAATTCATAAAGAGATAAAATTGGGACACAGATGAAAACTTTTAACAAGTAATATCATTTAATTACTATTTGAATCAATCTAGGAATTATTACAAATGTCAGTCTCATAGGGAGACTCTACCAGTTACGTTGACATGAGAACAAGTTGGTCTCAGTATAATCACCTAGGGAACAACCACAACATTTGGTAGATTCATTATTTGATTATTATTTCAGCTGGCTCCATGCCAGACACCCACGAACACTTGATCATGCAATCATTTTTGGAGGAAAGTTTTGCTATTTTGGCCAACTTCAGTGTGAAGAACAGCGGTTTTACTCATTGGCCTGATGGGTGGCTGTTAATCTGTTTAGACCTGTTTGACCTTAAAGGAAGGCAACTTCATGAAGCATCCTCAGAGAAACGGAGATTAGCAACAAAGAAACTGCCAGAGCCATGAGAAGGGGAAAAATGCAGACATGGCAGTGATGCTCACTAATGCTCATAACGCTATGTAAGAACATTGTATTGGGAAATAGCCAATTATTCTTTTAGTATGTTAATATTCCAAGATGCTTGTAAAGTTATTTTCTTCTTTTTAGAGCTATTCAAACCAATTAAAGGTAATGGGAGTCTTTTTACCGATTCACTGGGTGTTGTGGAGCTGTGCATTGGTTTCAGTCATTAACATGCAAAGTGCTTAGGAGAAAGTGGGAAGGGTGGACATGCAGGGGTGTTTCAGAGAAGTTACATGGACTCCGACTACTGCTCTTACAGCTCCCTGTGGAAGCGCTACCTCTGAGACGGCACACAAAACTGCTGAGGAAAGGCAGACAGGTCACATTACTTACAATCATGCCTCCTCCCCAGATGCCTGGTGCTTGCATGGCCTGCTTGGTGATGTGGCCCTCCTGTAGATACTTCCATGACCAGTTGGGGAAAAGGAGGAAGATGTTGACAGCAATGGAGAGCATTCCCAAGACAAGCAGGCATGGGCCCAGGATTCGAGTGCACTTTCCTACACACATTGTCAGTGACTGAGTACTACACAGAGGATAAAAATGGGGGGAAGAGAGTGAGAGAGGTTCTTTCTTTCTTTCTACTAGTCAGCCTTTTTGTACTTAGATTCCAGGGTGCTTTAACAAAGGAGACCAATACTGTGTGCACCTCAGTTTCTCTGTTTGTAAGACAGGGAAGTCACAGAGAGGTGAAGGGATAGTATGAGCCAATGAGGGCTGGTGGTAAAGCTGGAAATAGAACTCAGGTTCCTTGGTTCCCAGCCTTTAGTTGCACCACTTTTTGACACAGCTCAAGCTGAGAGAGGATCCCAGCAGCAAGGTGAAATTTTGCATTGCAGTCTATAGAATGGGCAAAAAGCTCTTTTACAAAATAAGCAAAATGTCATAAGACATTGATATGATCCAGAACTGGCTCAAGGGTACTTTTCTGGGATTTCCAAACTAAACAACCAGAATTAATTTAAGGATCAAGATCTCACATTAAAATGCCCCTTTGAAACCAGAGGTTTTGGCCACTCTAGTTTATTCCTATCATGTGAGTAAGAGATTTCATTGTTGTTTGAGCTTAAATCATGTTACAAAGATTCCTCCCTCAGGTCATTCATCCTAAATTTCTTGGGCCAAACTTCAGTCATTTGTCCTGAGTTAAATCTGGAACAACTTCATTTCTGGAGGGAGTTATTCTATATTTATACCAAGAACAGGCTCTCACCCCGTATCAGTAGAAATGAAGACTTCCTGCCCATGAACAACAATAGTGAGGTCAGATCAGTATCCCAGAGACTTTTTCAATATATATATGTAGCATTTGTCCTGTGAAGAATTTGAGCGGTCAATATGCTGAGTTAGAATGGCGATACAACATTGTCGCGGAACTGGGGTAAGACTAACATACATTTTCCTTGTGTAGGTTTATACTACAAATTGAAACTGCTTAATTCAAACCCAACTTGTAACCTGCTAAAGCTCATCTGAGGGCACTTACTGGTACAAATAAAAGTTGTAGTATACTTTCAACATGGAGTTTTTTGGGGGCGATTTTTTTTGTTCTTTTTTTTTGTGTTTTTTGTTGGGTGTTTTTTTCTGGGGGGGTTTTGGGGTTTTTTTTGTTTTGGTTTTTTTACATACTGCTGGTACCATCACAGGGAACACCTGGAGCAAATTAAACTCAGTCTTGCCAAGACATTCAGTCCAACCACATTAGTAGGTGTGGTTTGCCCACCTGGGTTAAGCAAAGTCCCAGTCTGCTGAGCCACTACTGGCATAGGCGGCGGAAGGCAAGGGCTAATGGGGCTTAGCCCCCCCAAACTAATTTTGCAGTGGCCAGTGACAGTGCCATCGCCATGCCCCACCACTGCAGCACTGTGCCCAGTGCTGCCGCCATGCGTATAGCACCAGCACATGCTGGCTCCTACAATGGGCTTGTGGGAAGGAGGGGCAGGGGTCAGGTGGGCTTGCCCCGTAGCGCCCCCCGCTCCACCCCCCAATAATATTTTCTCCCCCTGCTGATTACTACTGGTATCCTATCCAAGTAGCTGATCATTACTATTTGCATTAATTTCTTTAGCAACCCCTGGATTCTGTGCAATTGCATAATAAATACCAACAAGGCAGTTACCACTTGAACATGTTTTAGTTTCAACATAATAGAAAGAACTGCAACTGAGAAGGAAATGCGTTTTGGAAGTGAAAGCTGACCAGCAGCAGCTCCAGAAGTGATGATGTCTTACAAAACCATTGAGTAGGGACGTAACGTTTTGCAAGACATGGGTGGAATTGTTAGTTCTATCTGAACTGACCCTGGAGAAAAAGGATGTGAAACTCACTTCACTGCTGCTCACACAATTCTCTTACCCCAGCTACTCTGCTACAGCTATTTCACATTCACCAACCAATGTGAGCTCTTTGCCTCCAACAAGCTAGAAGAGCTTGGAAGAACAATATAATTTGTGTGCAATTGCTCTGCTTTTGTCAGGGACCTAGAGAGGCACTGGAATGGCAATTGGGAAATCTGAGCCAATTCCAGGCTCTCCTACGTACTGTTTAGAAAATCATTTCACCGCTCTACGCCTCAGTTTCCCCTCTCACCCTTTGTCTGGTCTATTTAAACAATGAGCTGTTTGGGGCTTCCAGCTGTTACCACGAGGACAAGTCACAGAAGCAGACTCATTTCTGTGAACAGCTGCTCTAGGTAAGCAAGAAACACTGTGCTTAGAATACAGTTTATCCAGTGAGAAGTGACACTCCTTCCCCTTCCTAAGTCCCTCCAGAGCAATTCCAGTCGGCCAAATGCTCCTCAGGTCACTTACAGACAAGACCCAAGACTCTAAGCACAGAAGCCCAATGCTCAGATACAGAGCAGCTGAATGAGCCCCAGCTGGGAAACACAAGACATTCTTCCTTCCTTTCAAAGTTCCTCTAAGATTAGATCAGAAACATTTGCATTTAATTTCCTTATGAGATCACCCTTAATCATAGCAAATATCAAATCCCAGCAAATTCTTGCCTTCCCCCTTCCCCACTTACCTGAGAGAACTGGAACAGTGTGATGCCAATGCAAGGAGTTACCAGCTGGTTCAAATTGGTATTTCTCTGTCTCCCTCTGTGGGCAGTATATAAGTTATTGTAGAAGCTCTGAAGAAGCTTGCTGTTCTTCCTCAAGAAAGGTAGGGATATGCTGCAAATTGGCGGATATTTATAATAGTTTGGATGTGTCAGCACGCATCCTGTTTCTCCCATAGATGGTCCGAAGTAGCATCTCGCCTCCACTGCCCATCAGTCATACGCCTCATCCCTCCCACATGACCAACAGCTCTGATCTCTGAATAAGGAGGTCCTGTGCACTTACACAAGGAAATGAAATTCACACTGAATGAGGAAGTTGTTTGCTTTCCCGGAGAATTTGACTGGGGTAGAGGACTGATCATGGTGTGAATCTGTGATAGACTGCAGGTTCAACAGAATTGGAAGAGTCAAGGAACCAGGCAGTATGACTGAAGTTGGTCATCCAGATATAGAGCTTCTCTGCTTCCTGCATGCCCTAAGCATGCGGTAGGAAAAACACCGTCCTTTGTACTCTCAGCATATGGTTGTCGGGGAGGGAAGGGGGGGTTGGAAATCAAAGATGAACTGTTCCCACATCCAAGACCTCAACTTTGACCATATCGTAACAAACCCTGATCAGGTCCTTTAGTGGAAACTGAACATTGGACCTCTGGATCTAAAAGTGTGAGCTGCTTACTGCTTGATCTCAAAGAACAAAGTCCATTAACTCCAAGGCAGAAGCAAGCCCAAACTCCAACGTACAGTTCCGCCATGGAAGATAAATAGAGAGCTTCACTGTTAGAATGGTCACTCACTGTATGTGTACTTACATACCTACATATAAATTGTCCTGTCAAAGTGAATACAATTGTCCCTGTGAGTAAAGTTTCCACGTACACAGGTCCTGATCTTGCAAACACTGAAGGAGACACGAAAAGCATTGTATGCAAACTGTGGATACGAAGACATCTCCACCAGCCCTTTAACCAAAGCAGAAACCATGTGTATGCCTGGAGACAGCATCTGTTTAGTCTGGTTTTAGAAATTATTGCAATAACAAGCATGAAGCCAAGGCTTTTTAAACATTAAATGTAAGAACATAAGAAACACCATGCCAGGTCAGGCAACAGAATCTTCTAGCCCAGCATCCTGTCTCTTTCATTGGTAGAGTTGATGCTAAAAAGAAGAGTATTTAAGTACAACCTGATATGTCCCCCACCCCTTCCCCGCTACAAACATTCAGCAAAGTACTTGCCAACAGAGAACATGGGACCTACCATGGTAGGCATATCTGTTTTCTAGGGTTTCAAAGGGTTTAGGGTTTAACTAAATAAACACATGTCCAAAGTGGGATATAATGGGATATAACATGCAAAGTTGTTGCACAAGAGCTATAGATAATTAGATCTCCTACGTAGCGATAGATTAACATAAGAGGAAGTTGAATGTTTTAGCCTGATTAACTTATTCCATGTAGTGAAATACCGATTTGAAACAGTTCATTGTAGAAAACGAGAGAAAAATTAACAGACAAACAACAAAATAAAAACAAACAAACAAACCACCTTTTGGATGCATACCTTGCTGGTGTTATTTGACCCCATCAGTCTTTCTTGCCTAGAGCAGGGGTGCTGGACCTGATGATCTCACAAGATCCCTTCCAGCCCTAAACTTCTGTGAATCTGTAAACCTGAACCCATCAAGTATTCAATTAAGAAAGAATTCAACAACTAATGCACATCAGTTTCACCTCTAAAGAGATATTTCAAGAACTCGAATTCCTTTCCAACTTCAGCATCTTAAAGTAAATAGGCTTTGTTCTCTTTGCATAGGTGCAGGTCCTTACAAAAAATAACTCAGCACTCGAGCTGCAGAATTCAGATTCTGAATTTCCACATCTCAAACTACAATGCCATCAGAGAGCCGGGTCGGTTTGACAAAAACACAAGGCAGGTCATTCTCAGTAGCTGCTCATCAGCTTTGCAATTCCCTCCCTTTTGAGGTCCACCAGGGTCTGGACATTTTCCAGCAGTGCTGTAAGACCTTCTTATTCGGATGGATGTCCAACAAGCAAAGCTAAATTGGGGTATTGCTTAAGAAGTTTTTATTGTATATTGTATTTTATCTGTTTTTATATGATATTTTGTCTCTTACTTTAAGCTGCCCTGAGCCTTTGTTGTCAATCTAACAAATAAATACAGCCTGGCATTTGGGATGAGTGGCATCTGTTAAATGATACTGTCATGTACACTCTGAGATAGTTGGGGTAACTTCTAAAAACATCTTTAAAGATTCAACTCTTGAAATACCACTTAACTGTAAAACCTACAATCAGCCCCCACACCTGGAATGTTTGTGAGCTCCCCAATGCTACGATGTACATAATTGCAATTTTAGTTTTGTAACTACCTTTGCAAATTGTTTAAAGGATCCTTTCTTCTCCGTTTTCTCCCACTCTCCTTCCCAAACGTTAGTGTTGCCTATCCTCAGCAGTCAAAAGCCATGAATCAGCCTCCATCCCCCACAAATCATGAGATTTCTGTTTTTAAAAAGACTATTTTGGTTTGCATTTCATTTTTTTGGAGCTCGTGGGATTCGCTCACTCCAGTTTCTGTCCATAACTTCAAAAACTATAACAAAAGCTGAGATTCTCTCTCGACAAAATGACCCATAGACTCAGGGCTTTCAGAATAACATCCACTAGTGTGAGAATTTGTAACGCCTATATCACCAAATTTCAGAACTAGAGAAAAATCTCAAACTAAACAGAAAGATGCATGTATGCTGCTCTGACCTTCTGTGTTAGAAACAGATATTCATCATTTACAAAAAACTCCTGCATAAGTTTCTTCTAAATGTAGGTTTGAGCTGTGCTTCCTCGTGTTCGCTCAGGTAACCTGTGGTAAGGTAACACAGCTATTATCTGGATTTCATGTGAAGGTTTTAGATGAGATCATGGTCCACCCCAGTAAACCCAGGTGTCAGTGGGTACCTGGTCACTTGGGCAGGGTAGTCAAAGGCAGCCAGATATGAAGCAAACTGCATCACTCCCCTTGTGTGTCAACTTTTGTGCCTTGACCTTGCTCACCCTGTGGATAGCAAGGCTTGAGTAGAACTTTAATCCTTTAATATTACACTGTACCTGGTATCTAAAGATCCAGTTGTTTATTTTATATCCCAGTGATGAAATGAAAATTAAGAAATAATTTCAAATTTCAGACCAACAGATTAGTTGCTATTTCTGTGACTTTTATTGATTTCAAGTCATCAGCTGCTTTCTCACTGCAGTATCATCAGCCCTGGAGTCCCTACATGTACTTTCAGTTTTTACTAAGGGAAACAAAAGCCTATGAATTAGCCATGCTTCCAAGGCTGCTTTTAATTGGCTGCAGTCAAAAGAACTCAGTGAGCAGTCTCTTCGTGGCAGTCACTGTGATAACAGTCGATCAAGCAATATTACAGTGATGCAGGTTGAGATTAGATCCAACCCCAGAATTCACCTTCTGTTCCCAACATCGAAGGCTGCTAGTGAACAGGTGAGATGGGATGGGGAAGCTTGAGTCTTAGTGGGATAAAGGGCATTTACCTGTTCTCAACAGTGGGCAGGCCAGCCCCCGTGAGCTCCCAAAACTGTAGGAAAGTTTGTACTCGCAGTAGGGAAACAGGCAGGGAGATCATCCCATCTGCATTTGAAGCCTCAAACACACAACACAACACTCATAGAAAGAGACAGTTAAACTGCCTGGACTGGCCAAGTAAAAAGGCTAACTCACCTGATCCCTCCAAGGAGAAGTCCTTTGAGCGCATGGGAGAACCCTATACTGTTTGGATCCTAGAAAGTACAAGGAAAAATCAGTTTTCTGAATTACACAGGTAGCACTTACCATCACAACAGCATCTGTTAGGCGTGAAGGCCTGCATGGAATGTGCTGGGACACTGGTCCCATCTCCTGGTGGCTGAAGCTCTCGAGACCACTCAGCACCCCCTTTTCACGCAGCTTTCTCAAGGACAATAGATTCATAGATAGTAGAGTCAGAAGGGACCCCGAAGGATCATCGTGTCCAACCCCCTGCCCCAGGCAGGAAAAGGACTGAGGTCAGACGACCCCAGCCAGGTGCCTATCTAGCCTCCTCTTGAAGACTTCCAGGTTAGGTGATAGTACCATCTCTCTTGGCAGCCCGTTCCAGATTCTGGCCACCCTTATCCAGATCCAGATCTCTCAACCTCCCCTCGTAGGGTTTTGGACAGAGGCAACTAATCATATGAGTGGCCCTCCTCTGGACCCTCTCCAGATTCTCCGTGTTCCTCTTGAAGTGCGGCACCCAGAACTGGACGCAGTACTCCAACTGCGGCCTGACCAGTGCCGCATAGAGGGGGAGAATCACCTCCCTTGATCTGTTGGTCATGCATCTGCTAATACACAATAAGGTGCAATTGGCTTTGTTGATGGCTTTGTTACACTGTTGGCTCATGTTCATCTTGGAGTCAACTATGACTCCAAGGTCCCTCTCAGCCGCTGAGCTGCTGAGGAGGTCCTCCCTCAACCTATAGGTGTGCTGGGGATTCCTCCCTAGGTGGAGTACTTTGCATTTGTCTTTGTTGAATTGCATCCTGTTTCGTTCTGCCCACTGACCCAACCTGTCCAGATCGGCCTATATCCACTCCCTGCCCTCTGCTGTGTTAACTTTGCCCCATAACTTGGTGTCATCTGCAAATTGGACAGGGTGCTCTCCACACCCTCATCCAAATCGCTGATGAAGATATTAAATAACACTGGTCCAAGGACTGAACCCTGCGGGACACCAGTACCCACCTCCTTCCAGGTCGAAAATGACCCATCCACCACCACTCTCTGGGTGCGGTCCCTAAGCCAGTTGGCCACCCACCTGAGTGTGTAAGCATCCACTCCACAGCCTGCTAGCTTCCTTATGAGAATAGGATGTGAAATAGTATTGAAGGCCTTCTTAAATCCAGGTAGAGGACATCTGCCTCAGCTCCAGTGTCAAGGCAGCGTGTGATCTGGTTGTAAAAGGCTATAAGGTTTGCCAGGCAGGATCTACATGTGATGAACCCGTGCAGGTTTCCTTTCAGCATCATTTCCCCTGCTGGGCCTTCACAAATGCACTCTTTAATGATTTTTCCAGTGTTTTCCCAAGGATAGAGGTAAGACTGACTGGCCTAAACTTACCCAGTTCATCCCTTCTCCCCTTCTTAAAAATGGGCACCACGTTGGCCCTTTTCCAGTCCTCAGGACCAACGTGGTGCCCATTTTTAAGAAGGGGAGAATAGCAATGAATTCTTCCCAGAGCCCAGCATCTGAGGAACCATCGGGCGGGGGAAAGGACAAAGCCAGAACCTCCATAGTCCTCAGCACCCAAGACAGCAAACACAAAGGTGCCAGGTATGTTGCTGTCCCTCAGCACTTGAGAGCCACTGGAGGAAGACAGAGCAAGTATTGTGTTTCTTTGCCTTTGTCAACACTGAGCACATGCGAGTGATCCATTAGGATCGACCTTCTTCTACTTCCCATCTGGGAAAGGCAAACCTCAATTCCAAGAAACCAATGAAGAGCAGCATACTGAGCCTGTTGAATACCTTGCCCTTCTCATCTTACCCTTTATCAGCTCAGAAAAGAACAAGAACCAGTGCTGCTTTAGCAAAGGCTATAAAGGCTACTCGGGATGGGCAGCTGTGCACTAAGATACTGCTCTGCAACAAGGATAGCTAGTGCTCGGTCTGGGGGCTTTGCCAGGCATAAAACTACTGTGATGAGTGGATCTTTGGGTACGTGCATACCTAGCCACAAACTCTGCTGAATGCTCTCTGCTAGATTTAGCCAAACTGGCCTGGACAGCCTTCATCTTCAGAAGCTGGATGCGACTTCCTGTTCTGGCTGGTTCAGCCTGAAAAGATGAGGCAGATCACTTACCACTCCGGGTTGTGACTATGTCAGCCACTTGAGACTGAGTGGGAGCTTCTGTAAGAGGCATAAAATGAAGAACAAAAAGCATGAAGAGCAAGTCCTGAAGCTAGCTCAGCCGTGTAACATGTTTGGCACCAAACAAACCACTGCAAACAAACATACATAAGAAAAAAAAGCAGCTGAAGACAGGCATTAAGAGAAGGGATTTAAAGCAATGGGTATCTAACAGTCTCCTGGTCAGGACACGAGCCCCACAAAGGGAACAGAAGATACAACATATGCAATGAGTGCCCTACCTTACCCTCTCAGAAAAAGCTGAAGAACAGTTGGTATTAGGACTCGTATTTACACCCCTGGAGCCCCTGCATGAAGGAAGGGGTGATAGTGAGTGACCTCAATGAACACTGAGGCCTAGAGAGAAGATGCTTATCCTGAGAGCAGGTCTGTACAGGCAATTTTCCACAATATAAAGGTCCTTTGAAGAAAAGCTGAATTTGCATCACTGTGTAAATTCCCATTTATTCTTGGACAGAATGACTTAGCGCCAACAAGAAGTAAGCTTAAATGATAGAAGGCAGGCAACAGCACCACGGAAATATTCCCTTTGTGAGAAATCTGCATTGTTGCAACAACTGACAGAGAGAATAACCCATAGCTTTTCTTATTACAGAGGAAGTGGGTGTTTTTTTCTATTGGAAAAGAAGTGTTGCAACTTCATCTCGTGACCCTTGCTAAGTCAGATGTAAGGTCTGTCCAGTCACCTTCCTCAAAGAGAAGGGAAAAAATCCCACTCAATATGAAACATCAGAAAGAGTTTTTCACCCTGGGGCTGTAGCATTCCAACTTTTGCTCAATGCCAATGGCACAAAACAGCCTGATTTTAGAACAACCCCTGTCCTGATTAAGGGGCAAGAGGTTCATATTTCTATAGAATATCAATTTGAATTATGAAAAGTAGCAGGGTAGTCAGCTATGGGGGAACAGCTCAACACAGAGTCATCAGCAGTTGTGATAATGAACATGTCCCTGATCAAGTGACTCAGACACAGCAAGAGTCTTCTACTTGTGTTCTCTGCTTTAGGTATAGATTAAGGTTTAGGTTACTGCTTTAGGTTACTTGATAGCTGCTGTAAAAAAAAGTAAGTAATTATTTAACCTAGGAAATGTGTATGCATGCCTTCTGCCAGGGATTAATATATCAAACTGTGGAAAGAACTAAAATACTTTGACCATCTCTTTGTAAACAGAGCTTAACATTGCTTTGTTACAAATACTGACAAAGCAAGCTGCTGCTCATGCAAGTTTAAGCATCTCTGATTCAGTTAATCTATAATGTGCACATCTACCCTGCCTTCTGCTTCATATTTAAAGGTTAGAGATGTCACTGGTTGGACTGAAATATGCTATCCCATCTTTAGGGATGAGGAAGAAGAAGAAGAATCCAAACTGGAACTAATTTGCAAAGTAAGTTGTCACGAGTCTGTACTTTTTAATTCTTTGACCTAGATACTGTGAGGAAAAAGAAGGAAAAAATGGTATTTTTAAGTTATGCAAAATTGGAGATTTTGCAAGCTGGCCTAAAAATATTGTTGGATTATACTGTTTTCTAGCCCAACACATTGTGTTCTTTAGTGTAGCTAGAAGATAGGTCTATACAGTGTAGTTTAGAAAAGGCACTGGTTGTGGAAAGGAACACTGACTGTAAGAGAACACTGAATAATTAGTTTTGGAGACAGCAGTAGGTATCCTTCCAAAACAACTTTGGCAAGCAACTGCACCCCTACAGAAGTTCATGCAAGCCAAGGGAATTCTCTTGCCTAAGCTTTTGCTTTGCATATGCCAAACCAGATGCCAGATGCCACTT